CAAATGGGCTCTCCCCAGATTAGTTAAAATTAAATGAGATCATTGGCTATACAGTAAGTACTATGTCCTAAAAATGGAAGTTCTCTTCCAACATGTGATATAACCAAGACCCACGGTGTAAGAACTTTCTTGCCCCAAGTCTCACTGTTGGATAACAGCTGAACTGTGACCAAAGTGAGATACTCAGATACCCAGGCACAATGTTCCCATTATTCTTGGTTAAAATACTTTTTCTGTTTCTCTGGCAAAATATTCCAATCAAAAAAAGACAGGAAAAAAAAAAAGCTCTAAAACATACCTGAATATAAGATACTTAAAATAAACTGAGCTGTTATTAACTTCTTTTTCACTTTCATTTATTCAAACCATGTGTTCCAGATGCTGTTATTTTCCACTTAAAATTCAAGAGTCAATGCCATTCAGAGTAACACTTTTTAGTTCCTTATAAAAACTAGTCATGTCTGACACTAAGCAGCTCATTTTTATGTGTAATTTGGAGTTTGAAATGTCTAGACTGTTCTTTTCCTGCAGCTGTAACAAATTTTATTTTGAGAGACCTACATTCATCCCTAGTGCTAATAACTGACTGAGGGGTATTGCCTTACATTCTTTTCTTAAGTGTATTTTTCTTCTAAGTATTTTGAAACTATTCAAGAAATAGGTATAAAATAACATTAATCCTCAAGTTTCTCATGTAACAACACATTGTTATCTTTTATATTATGATTTTAAGAATACACTTTAAAAAATATCTTACCACTCTTCCAAGGTCCAGTCCCTCCCCAGAACCACACCAGAGAAATATAAATGATCGGGGTGCTGCAATCTCATCAATTTCTAACTTCATGATCTGTAAGAAAATAAAACAATGCTGCATAAAACTATTTGATTCCCATTCATCCTCTAGCCAAAAGAACAATCACTGAGATTTATCAGAGTCATTCTTTGTATGCACTTACAATGGAAAATAAATTTTATCCTTAAAAATCACTTGTTATACACGGCTGTTCTACTGTCTTATATTTCTTTGCTGAAAGAAACTGTCAATGAGTCCTTGGTTGATTAGCTTTCCATGTCTATATCTGTTTTCATGAGAAACCACTTTGAAGATATCAATATGTAATACAAGCATTGTTAATTCCCTACCACTTTGTTTGTAACTCCGTACTGTCTGTACTGTTCCTTTGCTATTTTGTAAAGTGTTGTCTGTCTGTTAATATTTTCCTCCTTTTATTTTTAAAATTAAAAAAAAATCACTTGTTATATTGCTGCTTTATTTTTACATAATATATATAGGGAAAAATACAGATAAGCACTTGTTTTTATAAGGAAAGAGCTTATAGGGAACTGCACTTACAGAATAATGGAACTTTATAAGGTAAGAGTTTGAAAGACATTCTGTAGCAACATATTATTTACAGAAAAAGAAACTGAAATGGAAAGAGGGTAAATGAGCCCAAAATTAATGGCAAAATTAAAATACAGTAGAAGCCAGTCACAGCAGTACACACCTACAATCCCTGCTATGTCCTTGGGAGGCCCAGCTGGGAGGATCACTTGAGCCAGTTATCTGCAAGATTTGTCTCTTGCAGGTAAATAATGGCAAGAATCTTCCAAACATGCACCTTTTCTCAGACTTCCTTCCCTCTGGCCCAGCCTCCACACACAGATCTGATGCTCTTACTAAACTATTTAAAACCCTGAAAAGTTTCATAATGTTTTCAGAGTAAGAACTCCAAGCTCCTAAAACATCATCTCAAGACAATGCAGTCAGCATTCGAACAGTAACAACCAACAAAAAGGTTACACCCACAAACCAGGTTATGCCTCCATCCCTTCTGCTCCTGCCTTTCCTTCTGCCTGAGCCCCTGGCCCACATCTTTCTTCTCCTGGACAATTCCAGCTGATCTATTTATACTGTTCAGGTGTCACCTCTGTGCTCATAAGTACCATCTTCCTAGGCTTGGTTGTTGGCCTACAATTTTATGCAGTCCTCCACTCCTGACTCAACAAAGTTATTAGGTTAGGCCAATGTTTACCCCATCAAACCATGTGCTCCTTAAGAGTAAGTATTAACTCTTACTCATTATTGAATCTCCAGTACATTGTCTAACAGAGAACGGTGTTCAATAAGTATTTATTATTTTTTATACTGGTTATAAAAAGATATTTTATGTAACTAATACAACTTACCAGCTTACTTAGTTTTATTTAGGAAAATATACCTTTATCATAATAATTACACTGAAATTATATGCTTATGTTTCTTTTTTCACCCGTACTGTATCATACTGTAAGTTCCTTAAACAGGAATTGTGATACATTTTATTTGCATTTGCTCTCTTCTCTCCTTTCTCCCTTCCTGGTATTTACTAAAACTGATCAGTTGCAAGTTGAATCATCATTCTGTCTGCTTTTAGATTTTCCTAGCTTATAGCCAAGGACTCCAAGACTGAGACTGTGAGTCCTCTACCGCCTGAAAAAAAGAATCAAATGAATGTACTCTTACCAATGTACCTTGGACCTTCACCTACAATACATACTATAAATCTACAGTTATAATCCCCACAAAAGTAGAGATGACATTTACAGCCTCAGTTTTTGATTAAATGAACATATTCATTTTAAAAATTAATAGTTCATTACAATGTAGAAAGTTTCATCATACATCATCCCAAGTCCAGCATTTTTCATTAGCAGTAATGCCAGTCTCTCTGTAATATTCTTCTAAAGGAGGTTCCAAAAGAATCACATCAAATTTGGGTGTTAGTTCTCTGATGTCAAAGGCTTCTATATCTGCTTGTAAGTACCTATTTGATTAAAAAAAAAAAAAAAAAAAAAGATTTTCAAATAATCTGCAGATGGCAATCAAAGAAATTTCTTAAATATTACTAACCACTATTTACAAAGTTAACCATAAGCTAATTACAGTATATTTTTTTATAGAGGGGTCTTCTTTGTGCAGCACAAACATTGAACCATCTAATGGGATTATTCCTTAGGATATGGACAAAATTATAGGGCAAAGTGAAAATCATTATTCCCCATGAAACATCCAGAATATATTCTCTTTGCATTGAAAAATCTATACTCAGATGAGGGTCTCACTCACTTTCTACTGTCATCTCAACTTTCTAAATTACTGTATTACTTTTTTCCTCAATTGTTTAGGATTAAAAACTTTTAAGTTTCAAATTAGTTTGCTAATGAGTAAAAACATTTATAATAGTATTTTCACACTAATATATACTTTACCAAAGTTATTTTCACATAAAAGTATTTTTAACTAAAATATTTTAAATGTAAAAAAGTATTTCTTTCTTTCCCTCTTTTCTCCCACTCTTGCTCATCCTATACCCTCTTCCCTTTTTTTTTTTTTTTTGGTCTTTTTGAGACAGGGTCTCACTATGCAGTTCAGGCTGGCCTTGAGCTCACTTTGTAACTCAGGCTGGTCTCGAACTCACAACGATCCTCCTGCCTTAGGCTCCCAAGTGCTGGGATTACAGGCATGCACCACCACGCCCGGCCCATACCCCGTCTCTTTCTTTCAGTTTTTTGAGAGAAGGTCTTGCTAAGTTGCCCCAGCAGAACTTGAACTTGTGATCCTTTTGACTCAAGTGCCCTGAACTGCTGGGATTATAGACATGTGCCATCACACCCAGCTAGGAATATTTTAAAGTAGGATGAATATTCAAGAATACCCAGATTTCCTCATATATTGACATATATTTGTGGTTATTCTAATAACTGATATGTTTTATTAAACCATTCAAGGTACAAAACACTTGAAGTCAGCTAAATGTAAAACATTCTCTAATTTCAAGGCCCTTAACACATTTTTCTAACAAAAAAAACCATTATTATGTTGAGCAAAGATTAAAGTGAATCAAGCCAGGGATGTAGCTCACTGGCACAGAGCCTGCCTGGCAAGTGTAAGCATGAGGCCCTGAGTTTGATTCCCAGTACCAAAAAAAAAGAATCACCAATCCACATTACTTTGTGAAAAAAAGTCATTTAACAATATTAGCAGTAATACAAAAAACATGAGTAATTTTTGAAGAAAATATTTAAAGATACTTCAAACAAATTATCTGGAAAACTAAAAAAAAGAAAAACATTAAATGAGAACCCACTTATTACTCAGTACCACAGTTTCAAACTAATATATTTTCTTACAAAGAAGAAATGAAGGAATGGACTAGTTTACTCTTATATAGGTGCTGATTCTTTCTCTTTTAAAGAAAAGTTATAGAAAAAAACAGGCTGATGTATTAAACCCAATGTGGGAACAAAAATAATTTAAAAAAATACTTACATAGGAGGAGTGTTAGATTTAGCTATTAACTCATCCTTTAACCTAATGAGTTCCCTCAGTTTTGGATATTCTTCAAATCTGTCAGCCAAACCTGAGGAGAAAAAATAGTAAATTCTAAATTTCAGTTCAACAACAGTTAATATTGGTGAAATGAAAAGTTATGTGTCCTGCTAAGAAAACAAAATACACACATTTTACTTTCATATCTTTAGAAAAAAAAAATGACTACTTCCTTTCTACCATATTTTCTTCTTTATCCTCCCCCTACTGGTGAAGGAAGTATATCCATAGCAATATAAATCACTTAAACTTCTTAATTTAAAAACTAAGTCTTGCTTAGGGGAGTAGTTTTTTCCTCCCCCGCTCCACTCCCAGTACTGGGGATTGAACCTACGGCTTTGCACTGAACTACATCCCTTGCCCCTCAACTTTTAAAGTATTTTTTGGAGGAAGGATCTCGTCAAATTGTTAAGCTGCCCAGGCTGGATTCGAACTTGAAATCCTCCTGCCTCAGCCTCCTAGAATGCTGGGATTACAAGTATGTACCACACATTTGGCTCACAGTTTTTATAACAAGAATGTGATAATTTTTGTTAAGTCTTCCTCAATCAGTAGTAAAGATCTCATTTCAAATAAAAGTTTGAAACTATACTATCAATTTTCACCACAGCAGTTAGCATTTATCTATAAAACAGAAGATACAACCTGAAAACATTTGAAATCTATGCTCTTTTATCATATGATGAATAGGACTGTAACATTCTGTTTAAAATGCAGAAATTTGCAGTCAGCTCTGTTCCTTGTCCCTCTGACATAAAGATCTTGCACAACAGGGTATCCTTTCTAAGTCTTCTTTCTCCTCAATTCTTCACCATGTTATCTTCAACAATGTTCAGTGGCTCCTTTTTACTACCACCTAAAGTGCTTTACGCCTTGATTTTGAATTTAAACTTCCTGTTGACTAAAATTACATTCATACAACAACTTTTTCTCAACCTCTATTAGCTTTTTGCATACATTTTCTTTGTTGTAGGTAAGCGTCCTAAGAGCAAAAAGGTGGATATGCAAATATGGATATACAAGTTCTCACAACTTTTTAGGATATATCTAACTTTTGCTTATAAAAACATTAGTTTCTACTTCAGAAGTAATGTTGCTTACAAGTGACAAAAGAAAAAAATGAACTGGATTATGAGAAAAAAATTAAGATTTTGGGTTGCAGAAGATACTATGAAGCAAAGAACTAATAGAATGGGAGAAAATATTTGCAAATCATCCATCTGATAAAGTTGTACCAAAAATACATAAAAAATATGAACACTGTATATACACCACAAAGAAAATATAAAGAGCTCTTTTAATTCAACAATAAAAAAGCAAAAGAAAATTTATAAAATAAGCAAAATGTTTGGACATTTCTCCAAAGAATATATTTAAGTGACAATATGCCTGCAAAAAAAATGCTAAATATATTATTAGTCATTAAGAAAATGCAAATCAATGCCAAGATAGGATACCACTTAACATCCACTAATGTGGCTATAATTCAAAAGACAGACAATAACCGTATCCTGGATGTGAAAATATTAGAATTATCATACACTGCTGGTCAGACTAAAATGGCACAGCTGCTCTGAAAAATATTTATATAGTTCCTCAAAATGTTAAACATAAAATTACGACATGGAAAAAACTAAAAAAAAGCAACAAAGAAAACAAAAAAGGTAAGAACACTAAAGTTTAAAAAAGAAAAACAAGAATTACTGCATGATCCACCAATTCTACTTCTAGATACATCGCAAAGAGATGTGAGAACATATCTCCACAGAAAACCTTGTACATGAATGTACATAACAGAGGAGGGTATGGTGGTGCATGTCTATAATCCCAGTATTGAAGGAGGCTGAGGGAGGGAGATCACAAGTTCAAGTCCAGCCTGGGTGATTCAGCAAAAAAGAGGGGGAGGAGGGGAATTGGGGCATAGCTCACTGAGAAGGCTCTGACTAGAATCCCTGTAGGGGATGGCGACTCTTAGCATATCATTTTAAGATAGAATAATTCTAGTCTTAGTACAAGCCTCAAAATGCGTCTTGAGAAACATCCTGGAGGAGTTGTAAAAAGTTAACTTTGCAGTCCTGACTTTGCCCTGGAATGCTTCTCCAAAGACAAAGAACACACAGGCCCAGATAACCACCTATGACCCTGCCTGGGTGGTTTCATCCCTTCCCTGGCCCTAGATAAACACTGTAACCATAAAGAAAATGTATAGTTATCTAAAGGGGGACATATAGAACAGAAAGTATGTATCATTATGGTTGGGCTCATGACTGGAGTCTGACCCAGTTAGATAGCACAAGGAAAACAATGTGTGGCAGGGCTACAACATTCCAATCTGTTACCATGGAAACCAAAAATGTATATAAGGTGGGAACAAAGGCAGGTAGGCACCCACATTCCTGACCTGCAAGTCTAAATTAATAAAGGCAGGTAGGCACCCACATTCCTGACCTGCAAGGTGACCAGTCTAAATTAATAAACTCTGTTTGTTCTAAATAGAATCCTTTGGTCTTTTGTGGAATACAGCCCGATTTTTTGCCATTACATCCCCAGTAGTGTCCCAACCACTAAATCCATCACAACACTGTTCACAGTATTCCAAAAGAGCAAACCCAAATGAGTAAATAAACAAAATGTGGTCTACACACCCATACATACAAAGGAATATTATTTAGCAATAACAAATGTTGGACCAACAGATGTTACAACATTTATGACCCTTGAAAATATGGTAAGTGAAAGTATCCAATCACAAAAGACCACATATTGTACAATTCCAATTATATTAAATATCCAGAACAGGGAAATTCATAGAGAAAGATTAGGGGCAGGTGGGAGGCACAGAAGAGAGGGAAGAAATCAGGACTAACTGCTAAAGGGTATAGGGCATTCTTAAGGAAAAAGAAACTGTTCTAAAACATGTTATAGTAATGGTTATCAACAACCCTGTGGATGCACTAAAAAAATAGTAAATTATACTCCTTTAAATAGGTGAGTTGTATAGTAGATAAATTATTTTAAAAAGAAGGAAAGAAAAAAGGAACATTGCTCAAAGGAAAATGAAAGTATACTGCAAGTACTGAGAACAGAAAACTGGAAAAAATATTTTGTCAGAAATAATATACAAAATGAATGTATCACATGCATGTAATCAATAGTTAGCAAAAGAACAGTCCACAAAAGTCTTACATACCTACATCCCGGATGAAATTCTGAGGTCTATGCCCAGTGTCTACAAAATGTTGGCAGTAATCATTATGGGGATTTAAACTCTGTGTTCCCTAAAGAAAAAGTCAAAATTAAATTTAACAACATGCACACTGATAGCAGATACACTAACACTGTACTTTGCTTTCTATTATGGGAACATATAAAATATGATAGATCTTAGAAAGTAGTAAAATCAGGAAACAAACAGAATGACTTCATTACTTTTAAACTACTACTGAAATTACATCATTATCTCATCCTATACAGCCAAATATCAAAAGAATGTTTCATAGATAATCTAAATAAACCTCATTTTTTAACAGTGATTCCTCAATAACTGAAAACATTCTAAAGACAAGTAGGGTACAGAGCATAAATGTACAGAGCTGTTAAGACTTAAAATTATTTATTTTACCTTAAGAAAAGTACTAGAATCTTTGTAAATCTCTTCTTCATATGGCAAATTTTCTTCTTCCTGCTGTAGTTCTAGTTCATCCTTGGAAAAGGAAGATTAAGGAAACATTTATTATAATATAGGCCATTTGTTTAATTATATCTTAAGACTTACCGCAAATATTTTATATCCCTAAAAGACAATAAATGTTTCAAGTTAACAAAGTCTTTATTTTTCATCATTAGATCTAACTCGTTAATATTTAGAAAAAAATTTTCTCATCATTACCATGAATAAAAATGACCTGTAACTAACATTTTGTTGACTGGATTATCTAGAATTATGTATTTCATATATAATACTATAAATGTTAAAATGTAGCTTGTGGGCTGGGGATATAGCTCAGTGGCACAAGTGCCTGCCTGGCAAGCGCAAGGTCCTGAGTCTGATTCCCGGTAAT